CAAAACAACCCAACTGCAGTTTGATTGATATTACTTGGAATGCGCAATAAAAAAAAATTTAAAACGGTTATCGGTTTTTGCAAATGAACTCTTATAGTTTATAATAAGAAAATCTTAATCTTATGTTCATATATATATATATATATATATATATATATATACAGTATATATATAAGTGCTAAATGCAGCTTTGGTGAGCATAAGAGACCTCTTTCAAATACATTAAAAAAAATTACCGGCCCCAAAACTTTGAATGACAGTGTTCATAATAACGCTCATAATTCCCAAACAAACACACCTAAACGTCCATAAACTGTTTATTGCAAAAAAAATAAACTTTGTCTAATAACTGTCAACATTAAAAAGCTGTTTGTTCCTAAAAAACGATAAATTCTGCCTTCAAATATTTTTCATTTTCAGTGCAGTTTTTACAGCCAAATCGTGATAGTTTATGATGTAGCTGTGAAAAGATGATCCACGTGTGAGATGAGGCGCAGTATATACCGTCATCCATCCGCTCTGTCATGTTTATAAATTGGCAGCGGGTTTTAATTCACTATTCCTTTGTTCCAGAAAACAGCGCGCCACTTGCACATTTCACAGTGAAGTTCATGAGAACACGGAGTCCATTTCTTAATCTAATTGGAATTTTACTCTTCCTTCCTGCATATAGAAAATAAGCCATTCATGACGGTCTGTGGAATGTGGTGTTGCTTCGTGCCATAGGGGACTCCATTTATAGTATTTATACACTTTTGTTTTGCATTTGCTTTGAATTTATCCCAAATTAAACGTATTGTAATATGTGGCAGATGGGGATTTTATATGCATCCAGATGAAAGACCAAGCAGATTGGTGCTCGTTGTTGGTTTGAAATAAATAGGAGGGGAACTGACATCATTCTTTCCCAAACAGGCTTCTGGTATCTTTCACAAAATGACCTAATTTCCTTAGTCTGCTGAAAATACGCTATTTGACTGAACATCTTTATCTTGGAGGTTGAGTTTGGGTTCTGTGAAATATATGTATACATACTGTATATTTCGGTACAATAACAATTATAATAATTGTATATGCCTAATTGACTGTTGTCCCTGACAGCCAATCTTCTACATTAGCTCAGTGTAGGAGAGTGGTTGCCAGGGACAACAGTCTCTTCATAGTACTACCTTGGTACTATACGCAAAAAAAAACCATGGTATTAACATGGTATTGTGTAAAACAACATGTCAATACCACAGTATTCTGACGTAAAACGTACAAAGTTTTGAAACAGTATTATATTCATATACCATCATATTTACATATTAAAGTACTTTCAAGAAACCTTATATTATTCTAGTTTTTTTTTTAAAGTTTTGTCATGTTCATGTTTTATCATATACAAAAAATAAATAATAATAATAGCATAATCATAAAACCATGTCCAAAACAACATGGTATCTGATGGAAATACCAAGGTACTTTGAAATGTAACATGGTCCTCTTGAATGATTACCACATTCATTTACCATTATTTGTATATGTTACTCCAAGTAAAGATACAGTGGTTGTATTATCATGTGTAATTCATGAAACATTTACGCTCGGATTTATATTTATTCAGTATGTTAGCTAAAGCTTTCTCTGCTATTAATAGCTCTTGTTATTTGTCCAATTAGTAAGAGTCCAGATGGTGTGGCAAAGCGCTGTTACTGAAGGGCAACAAGGCTAAGGCAATCGCAATCGCAAACACAAGAACACATATACAAATGAATTCAATATTGTCCCTATTTACTTTCCTTAATGCTCCTGCACTTACTGTGATTGGTTAATTGGTGTAAGTTGTTTGAATGAGGAAAAAAAAAATTGTAAACTTTAATCAAAATGTTACAACTTGAGTTTCAGCTGTCACAGGCTATTGGATGATATTGTCAAGTGCTAAATGCTGTAGTTAAATAGAGGTTGTTTAAGCAAACGTGCACTGGTATGTAGTGCCCATTTTCACTATCCAATCAGTCCCAGATACTGTATACAGTATATTACTGCTGATTTATTTATTTTTTACTCAGCAAGGATGCAATAAATTGATTAAAAGTGGCATTAAAGTAAAAAAAAATGTACAATGCTCCAAAATATTTATATGCTATTTATTTATTTTCATCAAAGAATCCTGGAAAAAAATGCATCACGGTTTCCACAAAAATATAAACACTGATGATAATAATAAGAGATGTTTCTTGAGCTGCAATTCAGCTTGTAAATTTAGCTTTGCCATTTTACAACAGGAAACAGTACTAAGTACTACTACTAATAATAATAATATAATATATTTTTTGAATATCTTAAACATCTTACCCCAAACTTTTGAATGGTAGTGTATATAAACAAATTAAAGTCAAGTTCTGCCCTAATATCCTTTTTTCATTGTCACATAAGTCACATTTTGGTAAAATATATAAAAGTAAAAAGTTTTGAAAAAACAATTTGCATAATTTTCAAACTTTCACCACCTTTTTTCCACTATCCCCATCTGTCATTGTTGTATAAATGGCTCACTTGTAGTTTTACACTGGGAAAGAAGAAAGTATTTTAAATAAAAAAGACACACTTCCCCTTTAATATTCTGGCAGACAGAACGAGTATTGAGCAGACATGGTGAACTCTCCAGCAGGCTCACAGGAGAAGATGATTATTTACAGAGCAGGGAGAGCAGGAGGTGTGTCAAAGATTTGCCTGCTCAACTGTGCTTTAACACCGAAATCTGGCTCAGTCACACTGAGCTAAGCACCTGGCGCCCGCATACGTACACAAACATAAACGTTCACTGGAGTCACGAGCATGTGCTGCACAGACTTTGCACCGTATGTGACCATTAGTCACCATTACCTCCACATTCCCCATGTCTATCATTTAAAAAAAGTACGAACTACACTTGCACATGTATGAATGAACCTTAATACGTTTACACAGGAAGTGACATCAGTGACTACAGTGCAGTGTAACAGTCTTATATTTCAAAAACTAATACAGGCATATTTTGGAAGTTTGGCAGGGCGATGGTTACTGTGCATTTGCTAAGATTTTTGAAGGTTTTTGAAAGAAGTCTCTTATGCTCAGCAAGGCTGCATATATTTGATCAAAAATACAGTAAAAAAAACCAGCAAAAAAAAAGTGAAATATTATTACAATTTAAAGGAATGTTTTTCTATTTTAACATGACAGGAAGTGACATCAGTGACTACAGTGCAGTGTAACAGTCTTATATTTCAAAAACTAATACAGGCATATTTTGGAAGTTTGGCAGGGCGATGGTTACTGTGCATTTGCTAAGATTTTTGAAGGTTTTTGAAAGAAGTCTCTTATGCTCAGCAAGGCTGCATATATTTGATCAAAAAAACAGCAAAAAAAAAACAGCAAAAAAAAAGTGAAATATTATTACAATTTAAAGGAATGTTTTTCTATTTTAACATGTTTTAAAATGTCATTTATTCCTGTGATGGCAAAGCTGAATGTTCAGCAGCCTTTACTCCAGTCTTCAGTGTCACATGATCCTTCACAAATCATTCAAAAATGCTGAAATGCTGAACTCTTGATAAATTTAATGTGTCCTTGCAAAAAAAAGAAGTGTTAATTTCAATCAATAAATCAACCAATCAATCAATCAACCAATCATACTCACCCTAAACCTTTGAACAGTAGCATAAGTTTATGGGACACTGTCTGTTTTTATCTCATCACTTAAAGTAATAGCACACCTCTCCTCAAGTCACACGACTTAAGGAATCAAATGTGTACATAGCACAAACAGTTACATGTGATGGGTTTGTTCAAATCCCTACCTCTAAATTTGAGCAATAATAATATGCTTGCCTTAGCAAGCTCAACTACAAATTGGCACATAAAATAAGACTTATTTAAGCATCTTTTGCTCTTCCACCCATAAAGTAAAACAAGAATGTATGTATTTGGCAATCCTGACATGATGCACACTAAAACTCTGGACTATAAAGCGTAACCATGCCATAAATTGTCAGTTATTTGACATTACCAGAAAACGTGTATGCTCTTGAGTGTGTCAGAATATGATCTCCTGCAGTTAGTTCAGGCCTCAGGGCATAAGTGGGTCTTCAATAAAAAAAAAAAAAGTCTTCATGGATGGATGAGTTGAGGAAAGTTTATTACCATGCAGACATGGCCTGGCTTGACATCGAAGTCACCATGGACCTCACTGCACAGAATCTAAAGTCAAACAGTGTCTAATGGAGCGGTGTAATGCAAAGAGGCAGCTCTAACAGCACATCCCTTTCCCAACACACTTCACAGTCAGCTTCTATTACATCCAAAGCCAGTCTGATTACATCTGTTGTTAATCTGTGAGATCAGACTTGGCTTTGATGACACAGCTCTTTCTGAGGGGAAATTAAAATGGCACAGATATGAACAGTTCTGTTCTTTGGTCGGATATTTGCAGGTGTCTTGCCAGGGGTGAGAAAGGACATTTTACCTGGTGAGCATCTTCCCACTTCTCAAGGTTTTCAATGTCCAACATTAAGCTGACAATCTGGAAGAATTTCTGAAAAAGAAAAAATAAAAAAAAAACAGTTTAAAATAAAGAAAAAAGATGGTATTGTGCACTTTTTTTAATTCCAAAGTTCTGCTATATGAACAAAAGTGCAATAACAATTGGTTTGCAAACAAATAAGGTGCTTTTTTACAGCAGTATTCCTTTTACATAGTAGCAGTTAAAATATTTATTGTAAATCTCAATTTATAACATGAATGTAATCCAAATTAAATATAAAACCAAAGCTATTTGCCACTGCCAAGGCATTAAAGTTTTTATAGAAAATATTTTATAGTTTGTTATAGAAAAACAAGTTATGCTCAGAGTCCAGAGCCTCGATCATAACATTATAACAGGCACCTTCTGAGTAGAGACCTGCACATCGCGGGATCTAACACAGCAGAGTGCGCCGTGGGACAACACTTGATGGGCGAGTGCGGGCGG